TACCATATGCAGTGTCTTACAGAGTGAATGTCATGTGTACTTTAAAAATGACACAGTTCTGATCGTATATATAATATTTTTTTTCTAAAAAAATGATAAATAAAGCATACTTTGAGGCGTTTGGAGATAATGCTGAATAAAGGTACTTTTCTGGTTGTTATTAGAAATGCATGAATTCTTCATCTATAGGTGGTTTAACTGTACAAGAATGGACTGTTTCTTACTGTATGTAAGAGGTTTGATCCATAACTTGTTATGTCATTTTGCTAACAGCTATAATGGCATTTTAAAGCATTGTGACAGAGATGATGACAATTCAGGGACAACATTTTTTAGTCTAAAAAAGTCAAAGTTTAAGTATTTATAGTTCTATTGATGTCATTTTTAATTTTAGATTTGTAAGACATCTATTGTATTCACCTTTCTGTGGTATAGTTATTTAATTAAGCTATTTATTTTACAAATTATGACATTTGCAAATATGTTTGCATATTAACGCAATAAAAATAAAATTTCATTTAATATTTTAAAATTTATACTACATTAAAACAGAGGGATGGGAAAATGGCACTTTACTGAAGAATGAACCTTTAATTCTTCACATACTTTGCTATGGTATTCAATTAAATCTACCAGGCTTTTCAATTTTATTTCTATTTTTACCTATCCACATAGCATTAGTTTTATGTTCATTAAGACTTATGCCGGACACTTTACAAAATTCCTTAACAATACTATATTCAGGAACGGATTTAGGGGGTTTTATCACAAAAAAAATGAGATAATTGGATGGATACTCAATTCCATATAAAGGTTGATTCTATGTCACATCGCGCATTGTATAGCTACAAAGAAAGTTTAAGCGCAGAAGCACCAGCATGGAAACTTTCGTGCAATCAATCACTCTCTATCGAGGACGTCAGCATGTATGTGCTGTCAGACAACCCCATGCACAGTGACCACAGTGTACTGATATGTATGCACATCTCCATTGTGAAAAAAAAAATTACACCCACAGTGTTTAAGTCTTTTCTTTTCCTACCAAAAACACCCTAGGAGAGTGCTATTCATAAATCCACTTGGTAATAAATAGAACACTAACTTATTCAATGTTATATACAGTAGCGGATGTTGTTGTTTGACGACTTTTTTAACGGATTTTGGATATTAGTTTTCCTTTTTGCTGATTTTGTGATTTTTATGGTCGATGTTGCTGAGAAACTTCATCATGTTTTCTCGAAGTGAAATTTCTCTTTGGAAAAATTCAATTTTCAAATTTCAATTTTCTTAATAAACTTAACATAAATTCTCTACTTATAAGGACAATTGGTTTGCGTTTTAAAGCACCTTGGCAACTCCAATAATGTCCATTCTGGCTTTGTTCATCACAACATTGAATACAATAAGCTCATTGAATTAGTCAGTAAGTGACCAATCTGCTAATGAATGCCAACTATAATAATATTAAATGCAATCTGATTACCTTGTTTGTTGAAAATAGCAAGTAATCAAATTTCAAATGAATGCCAATTATATATTAGATTCAATGTAATTACCTTGCTTAATGTAAATTGGTTTACAGAATAAAACATCTTTCGATTTGGACACCTACGGTATTAATTCAGTGTAGTATCCTTAATTTGCCAAGAAGCTTCTTGTAAATGTTTCCCGTTTGTCTCAAAGCAGCCTGAGCATATAGTTTGTTTGCATTGAAAATATTACAATGCGATGTTAATAAGAATATCTTTTTAAAAATAAAAATAGCAATTACTGAATGACGTTTCCGATGTTACTAACATAACGCGAATCAGCATTTCTTCTCTAGTAAACTCGACCCTTACATCCTCTCCTCTAAAAACTATCCCCCTTGGCAAATCCATCCTCTACAAATTCATTCAACGAAAATATTTACTGCACATTATATAGTAATGAACTCCTGATTATATTTAATATAAACACGATTTTCTTTTTAAAGAGTCAAATATTTTACGAGAATGGTTTGCAAAACATGCCCTTGTTTTGTCACTGCCGTTTTTTTTTTTTTTTTTTTTTTTTTTTTTTTTTTTTTTTGTCATTCACATACTTCTTACAATATAGACGACATATTGGACATACTATTAGTAATCGTTTTTGGAAGCGTAGCGCGATTTTCCATAGCACCCATAAAATAATAGATGGGTTTATATAGAGCAAATAAACGAGGTCTCTACGCGCTCGACAATATTAAAATACAAAAAAATGTTAAAAAAATCAATAAACAATAAGCACCAAGCAAGCCCACAAACCAACCGGGGATCTGTGTTTATGTTCTTCGGTTAGCATCGGTAAAGTCTAGACCTTTTCTAGGATAAGGTGCCTCATAACCTGGATCAAACAAAATTAACTAACGAGGTGAAACAAAGAATTTGAGGAAAAAAATTGTAATTGTAAAGATGAAAAAAGAAAAGTTTCAGTCGCTTCTTACAGACTATGCAAGTTGACGAAGATTTATGGACTTCAAACGGGCAGTGCATCTATATTTGTGGAGCCACAACACGAAAAGATCGCTCACCGTACGTTTTTGAACGGCACTCAGGTAAGAAACAAAGTTTTAATGAACTTGTGGTTAATCTAAGTACTCACGAACAAGTGGATGAGCGTAGTCGGAGATGATTTATGTATGTGCAGGGAGGTATACCTCCCTGGTATGTGGGTGATAGGTTATGGAGCGATTATTTGTACACAGGAAGAAGCATTTTGAAGTTGATACGTTGTCGAACTGGAAGCCAAATGTAGGTTTTGCGTATTTATCGTGATGCTCTGTGACTTTGCGGTCGAGTTTTTTAGACGTGCGGCGAGTTAAGATGAAGTTGTAATTTTTTTTAAATACAAGCGTTGTCATGGATGCAGTCAATTCAATCCCGTGACAGTGTTACGAAACTACTTAAATGCTTAACTCAATGTTATGGTCTTTAAATTGTGTGAATGGAAAAATTGGAAAGCTCATGTTTAACATTCCTGAAATATGAAGTGCAAATTTAAGCGATGAATTAGTGTCCACATCATCGACTTTAAATCTCCATTCCCGGCAAGATTTCAGTTAAGAAAAATATTATTTCTATATATAGGCCTATGTTTTAAAAAGATTTATAAATGTAATACGAAATTGCTAATTTAACTGAATTTAGACATTTCCAAACATGAAAAAAAAAATGTAAAATAAGATTGAAATTAGATTTTTTTTTAAATGCGGATGGATTTTTTCTAGTTTGATTTTGCGATAGGTCTGCTAAGAAATAATAGTAGGCGCCGAAAACATTATCCTATCCAACACTGCTAAGCCATGGCCAGCCTTACCTCGATTTATGTTCTGTTATCACACATAAAAACGGCCGACATGATATTTTCCGTTGCTAGTTATTGACACTTGTGAAATATAATATTTCATAGAAATTATTTCAAATGTTAAAAAAATGATTCTGACCGAGATTTTGACAATTACATCATAGTGTGAGGGTGCGAATGCGAAGTACAAAAACCAATTTCACTAGAGAGGGCGCACTTTATTGACTGTTTAAAGTATACATAAAAGCGAGAGCATTCCAGCGGATGCTATCTATAACCTATGAATTTCTGCCTAGAATTAGTCGAGAAAATAGTAATCTCCTATTAGAATTAGTCTGCATTCTCACTTTTTTTTTTATTCTTTTGCGTAAAACTAAAATGTATGCCAATATTTTTCCATTATTTATAATAAATAGAGTAAAACATATGCATTTTTTTCTTCCAAAAAATCTTTTTTAGTGAAATTTTTCGGGAATGGGGCTTTAAGATCGATTTCTAATTAAAAACTGATTAAACATCACAACAAAGGTCACTGGTTTCATATTATAAATAATTTCGAATGGGATGCTTGTTTGGCTAAAAATGTTTTTTTTTTTTAAGAAACAGGAAGGAAATCTTTTTAACTAGATCATTGAGTTAATGACTTAGTTGGAAGCACAAGCAACGTTTAAAACAACTTAAAATAGTACCACTAGCTGAAAGACAACACACGGGAAACACAATAGAAGCATTGTTTACAGGGTCTACCGTCATCACTTAAATGTTTTCTGTGACACCCACAGAAAGTATTAGAAGAAAAAAAGTGTAAGTAAAAATCACATAATTTTGGCAAAAACGCAAACTGGTATAGCTTACTGTTTTATCGAAGTTAACTTTACGATAACCTGACCCTGCAATGTCCAGATATTTTGTGTTGTGGCACCTAACGATAATGCGGATGTGTTCAGTGGCACCATACAGACCCATGAATGAAAGAATCAGCAGAAAAACAACTGGGTGAAACTCGCTCATATTCGGCAAAAAACGCAGTGTATAGCTCACGGTTTTTGACGAAATTAAACGACTTTCGACCTTGCCATTTTTCGGTTGTGTTTTGTGCACCTACGTATCGCAACCTGGCACTTAATTCATTGTTTTATGCTGTAAGTTATTGCTCACGAGACAACATTTTATATGGCTTAATTCTTGCAAACATTTATTTCTATGAATATATTGTCAACAAAGTTATTTCAAACATAATCGTGCCTTTCGGGGATTTTCTTACTCTGCCCGGTAGATCCTCAGATGGACCTGGACCACCAACCCTGAAGGTTGAGTGAAAATAATTAAAATAGCTGAATTTATCAAGTTTAATGCTTCAAGTTGGTAACTGATCTCTGTATAATGTTCTATCCATGACAGGTCTGTGTGGACCACGCGTCGTCCGACGCTATGGCGGTCGTTGGATCAAAATATTCATTTTTCTATAGAAGTAACTTTGTTTTGTTTGCTAAAATCCAGTCGATATATTGTGGTCCAACCTATGATCTATTCGGCTCATTTAGTTCTTAGCACCCTATCAGACATCGTACCCACTGTCGGCTAATTTCAGGAGCCACCAGGATGTTTAACAGAACTTTAAAAAAAATAAATAAATAAGCACACACAATATTTAGTTAATTAACAAGATAACAAGATTTACGCCTAATATTGTACTTTATTACACATCATATTTCGTGGTGAATATGTACATATCAAAGCAATGTTTAAACCTAGAGGAAGTGGAAAAAATGCACCTTTAAATGGAAAACATTGTTACTGATGATTATCAGATATAAATCAATAAACATTTTATAATACAGTAATATATTTCAAATATACAAAAATTATAATAAACTCGTATGCAACTTATTTTCGATAATATTGGATGTGTATAACATGCAAACAATATTATTTATTTGTTTTATGTAATTTTTACCATAATATAAACAAAGGTGGTAAGTTTGCATAACAGGTACATTATAAATAAATCAATTATTTTAAATAAAACATTAATCATATATATATATATATATATATATATATATTTATATATATATATTCTCATTAAATGCTTCATTTAATATTTAAATAATAAAAAAAAACCCTTCGAAAAGTCAATGAAAAAATAATTGAATTGATCAATGGAATACAATTCAATTATAGTAGTGTTTAGCAATTAAATGAAGTATTTAAATAATGTACCATATAAAGATTATATCAAGGATACAGATACATACTGTATGAAGCGATCCACAAAATAATATTATAACCTATCAATGCAAAATTCAGATAAAGGAAGATCAGTAAATGAGAATTTTCGGTGGAAAACCGTGTTCTTTGGTTCATTCGAGCATCTTGATTGGACGGTTGTAATATATTTAACAATCCAGCAAACACAATCAAATTGACTAGGAATACATTGCTATATACTGTACACAAAATATATTCATAATATACTGTATTAGTTGAACTAGTTCCCTGTAATATAATTGAAAGAATTTCCCTAATACTAAACACATACAAAATATAATCTGCAAGAACCATATTGTTTGGTACTGTATAAATGAGACAGTTTCATGGGAAGATAACCTATTTCTTCTTTAGAAGTTTCATTGTCCTAATGTATTTAATATTACTATTTTTAAAGTGATACAAAAAAAAAACGAAAGTTTTTCTTTTTTTCCAGTTTTTAATATAATGAATAATAATAATAATAAAGATGAATTCTACTTTTAAGCAATCCAGTTTTAATATATAATTGATGTTTTATTGGTTTTCAGTCGATATTAGATGAAATATAAAAATGTAATAATTTTCATAGAAAATTATTATTCTATATAATAACCACAATATAAATTGTGAGAAGACAATTGATGGAAGATACTTCTGTTGGTGAGTAGTAAGGCTAAGTAAATGTGTAATCAATATTTATTTATTTTCATATTAGAATATCTGTATTGTTTCTTTAAAAAATAAATACTGCTAGACAAAAAAAAATGTAAAAAAAAAAGAAATTAATGATGAAAATGCACCTTCAAACACTACCCCATACTGTAGCAAAGTTGACACTCAAGGATCATCGCAACAATCTCTGTATCATCTTGACAATACTCTTGATCATCATTAATGGGTCTGTAACCAACTTTATGAAATTTTGGTGATCTTTAATGGTTCCTCTTATGCTAAACCATAAGATAAGAGATTTGTTACATTAACACATCTCATAGATTCAAGTCATAAATTAAAAGGCAAGCTAAAATTTTATTCACAAATATACAACTTATTTTTTTAAAATAATTTAATATAGATCATCTACAAAATAACATCATCCACTCATTCAAGTTATTGAGATGTGTTCACAGACAATGTATTGTCACAGAATGAGGATCTAAATTTCAATTGGTTTGATGATTGGTTTCCTAATGTGTCTCATGTTAGCACCCGATTGTTGTGGTTTGAATGGAGCGTTGGCACCATAAGGTCGTGGTACGGGTAGTTCGGTGTCATCATCAGGTATGTACGCATTCGGTCGTGGTTCCGCGGTGGTTGTTGCTCCTCCTGCTAGAATGTATTGCTCTTCTTCCTCCTGGACCTGAAGAACAAAAAGTGGAAGTGTTTACAATTGACAAGTGGCTTTACCAGCAGGGAGATTGTCACACATCGGAGAAACTCTGAACCAGACTTCATCTGAAAGGAAACTGATCACTTTGTCAAGAAATACTACTTTAAAAAAAAAAAAATTTTTACAGTATGAAGTTGCAATTTTAACCTCTATTCTTGTAATTTCGCAGACCCAACCATAGTGGGCCACATAAGTGGGTCTGACCCCTTTCACAGACATTGAACTTCTCCTCGGAGAAGCTCTGGCTCACCACTGCATTTGATTTGCTTGATTGGGTATTATTTAAGCACATCATCATCATAAGCATCATCACAACTTACAGCTTGTCTGTACTGCCGGTCCTCGATCCTTCTATTCTCATCGTTCACCATTCGTTCCCAATCCTTCGCAGCTTCATTTGTAGGGGCTTCACCACGTTCCATGCGGATGTACGCTTGCTCAAGGGTTGATTCCTTATCTCGTACTTCTTGTTGATATTTCAAAGCCTCAGCTTGGGTCATTGATAGCTCAGACACCTGCGCCATCATCTTGCGAGTGACAGCTTTTATTTTGGCCTGGAGATCATTCACCTGTTGAAGGACAAAGAAAATTGTAAAATGTTTGATTGGTGACATGTAAATGTGGTTGATTGATGTGATATATGGTAAATTGGTGTGATATAATGGGTGACACTATGACACACGGTTAAGTGGTGTGACACATGGTAGGCTGGTCTGACAACACACAGTTGACTGATATTGTACATGGTTGATTGCTATGTGACACATGGTTAATAGGACGTGTCATTCATAGTTGATTGGTGTGGGACAACTGATTGAGTTGAACAAGACATAATGAGACATCTAGTTGCCGACAGTCAAAGCCATTTTGTTTCATTGTCAGCGGCAGTCTAAGAGGATCATCATAACGATCAATGTCTATGGAACCTTGGCCAATAAGGCAGTGCGTGGATGGGTTTAACCCTGGTATTCTGAAAAACCTCAATGTAGTTGGAGCTAAATTTTTTAAATGATGTCATTTCATTTTCTGAAAGAAGATACATAATATATGACTAACCTCTGCACCTCGACTAACATTATTACCAACGCAGGCTGATTTTTGTAGCGTGGCATCGGGCAGGCTTAATCGCAGACTTAAAATTTTACCTTCTTAACAAAATTTATGTAGCCCATGCTTCATTGCAAGAAAAAAAATGGTATTCTAAGAAGGGCTACTGTAGTATTGCATAAATGTTTAATTAATGAATGAAACATTCAAGATTAGCTTTGAAATGACAACATTACCATGTTCAGCTTGACATAGTCAGCGGCTGGTGATTTGCATAAAACTCCTGCTAATTTAATGATCTTTCATCATTGGTTGGTTTAATACTGCAGTCATTGCTTACTGCAGTCATTGCTCGCCAGCTGTACAAGCAATGACTGCACACTGTTGTGAGTGAAGTGCAATTAGGACATAATTTTGGCTACGTTTATTGAACAAATGAAGTTGAAGTTGCAAATAGGACTAGTTGAAGTTCTAGTTTAAAGTTTGACTATAGTTTGTTTCAAGAATATGGGCGTTAATACATTGCAACACCTAGTTTTATAGAAAATACTTATATATACTGTATATTGATTTCTTTCTTTTTTTTTTTTTTTTTTTTTTTGTTTACCTCTTTTGCAAGGTTTAGCGTGTGAACCTTCCCAGAATCCATCTTCTGATTGACTCTCTCCGCCAGCTTACATACTTGGTCGAAGATCAAATCCTTTTCAAGTAGCTGTTCTTCCTTCTCAGCCAATCGTATCTCAAGCTGATAAAAAATGATGTGGAAGACACGATTACTAATTATCTCTCATATACTGAAGAAATGCATGTTTATCCAACTAATACTGTCATTATGGTCACCATTAATCAACACAGTAACTAAAAAATGTCATCACAATTATGCAGTTCTCATTGTGCATTATGCTCAAGGCCTCTGCACTTTACACTTTGCCTAATCATTGGGTCAAACGCATACTCAACTCTGTTCTGTTGGGTTGGTAATAACACTGAATGACATTCACAGTGAAGGTTGAACCTTCAACATCAAGATAGAAGCCAAAAAAATAACTGCTACTAAAAAATGTATATCATCAATATTACATACAGGTCTCCCATCAATTAAAGACCATTTTTTGGGACTGGGGTTTCCATGGTCATTAGCAGCTTTGTCTCTAATTAAATTAATGGAGATAAAATACATTTGTTCATATGGAAACCACAGAAAATTAGGCTTTGATTTGATTTTGATTTATTCAAATATATCATAAACTTAACATACAGACATAGAAAAAAGCTCGTTGAAAGACGAAAAAGATATATAATAGGATAACCTTTTAGGGACTTCAGAGGGGTTCACAGCTAAGATTGGAGGGGTTTTTATATAGAGAGAGACCTGTATTCTGTCTTTAGAATTACAACATTCAAAATTATAACTCGGAAGTAGAATTTTACAAGTACAAATGCTGATGAGATTTACTCAAAAGTGACAATTACAAGCACACATAAACATTAGAACAAGTGCTCTGTGTTCACTTTTACAACTAATTTACAACAACTATGTTTTACTAATTTTTATTTTCTTTGTTTACATATAATAAAACCAAACCAGTAATTGGTATTAACTGGAATTTTATCATCATCAATATTACTATTATTAAATCACTTGTTAGTATAACAAAAAAAATTAATTCATCATCATCAATATTAGCATTATTTAATCACTTTTATTATAACTTAAAATTTGACATCATCGTATTATCATCACTATGGTCATCTCTTACCTCTTCAATTTTATTATTAAGTTCAGCTGGAGTCAAGTCCTTTCCTTCCAGCAGTCGTACACGGCTCTCATCATATGGATTCTCCAGTTGTTTTTCCAGCTCAGACATTCGATCCTGACACTGGGACAACTGTTGGGAAACAGTTAATGCAACTATTAATCATAAATGTAATAGAATTCCATGTACCAATGAAATGTTTACAATTAAAAACATCTATTAAAATCAATAACATTTAAAACATAAACAAAATAAAAGTAGGTTATTCAATAGAATAAGAATGATACATCAAATATAAAAATATTTGGCATTAAAAAGGTACTGTATTTTCATTTGGTTAATACCGGGAATGTCTTCACATTACTATTAGTTAGTTTGTATTACGTCAGCCATTAGTATTCAAGGCTTCTGAGTCAGGCCTCTTTGGGTGTAAATTCCTTGAAGCCCTAATGGCTGCATGAAAGCGTAGAGGCACTATAGTTGTGCATTTTCCATTAAAATCGATGGAACATCCGCCCTGCTACAAGTGAGAGACTATTTGACAGAGTGAAGAAACTAACCGGAAACAAACAAACTTGATCAGTGAACATAATATTATATACGAAGGCCGCCACCATGGGGTTGTAGGGACTGGGGAACCTGAATGTCGTTTCACAATCTTTGGGCTCGGCTTTATCTTGCTCTTATTATGTTTGCTAATACCTGTATCTGCAGGGTGACAAGCTCACTCTCCAAGGCTTTCTTATTGGGTAATGTCTTCCTAGCTAGGCCAATAGATCTGTTCTCCTCAGTTACTTGCATCTTCAGGAACCTGATCTCCTCTTCTCGTGACTGCAGCTCAACATCACCCTTGCGTATCATGTCATCCTGGATGTTGACTTTCTCGTAGAAGATACAAACTTCTTCATTACGCTCAATCAACTGGACCCCTCTACACAGGATGCAAGAAAAAATAATCATTATCTCACACAAATAACAAGTTTACTATATGGCATTAAAATAAAATCTATAAGGTTTATAGCATCAAAATAATAGCATCATAACAATAGCATCGTGGGACAAGTCAAAACATGTTGTACATAAATTTCAAAAAATAGCATCGTATAATAGCATCGTAATAATAGCATCATAATAATAGCATTAATGTTCTATACATCCCTTTGCTGAAATCCATAAATACTGAATAAAATTGAATCTAAAACCCATTTCCACTAGGGTTTTTATCAGCATACGAGTTATAAGAGTTTGCGTAGGACGATTTGGAATTCATGGGGAGAACTTGTACCTACTCATTGCAGCTCTGAACTCGTGGTGTCTATAATTTTCAACATTTTAAAAATTAGTGCTACAAGTTGACAACTCGTATGTAAACTCGAAGGACTCGTAGATAATTTCGTATTACTTGGGGTACTCCTACCTAACTCGTATATACAACTCGGGATACTCGTTGGCGGTTGGTAGTCCACGAGTTTGATGCAAGCACTAGGAACACTAGAACACTTGACCGGAATGCTCCTACCAAACTCGTATTTAATTCGGTACAAACTTGTTACGCCTGTAATAATCTCATAACACTTGTAATCTCGGTGCTTCGCTCGGCATAATTCATACACAACTCGTAACCAACACCGTAAGGTTGTAACTCACTCGTAGCTAACACGTAGTAAGTTCATATAGAGGTAATTTCCCAAGCAAATTAAGTCGACGAGTTTCACAAGTTTTTAACTTGTAGAACTCGTGCAACTCTTGGATGAAATAACCTAGGTGGGAGAGGGGCTAAGGTGGTTTAACTGCAAAAGTGCCCTAAGGTTTTCCTAATGCACATTTTTTTTTATCTCCTTCACAATCAACAGTATGTGCACTACACTTACAGGATGGAGCGATGATTTATATACAAAGTCTCTTATTCAGGACTCAGGGAGTTTAGTTGATATTATTTGTAGTGATGTTCTGCTGTGACAGGAATTAAAACCATGACCCAAGGATTAGAATGCAAAAGAACCTTAAGATGTTCCAACTTCACTCCTACTAAAGCAATCAATTTATCTACTGAGCAAGGCAGTATCTAGGTCTGCCATTTGAATGGTGAGGGAGAAGTGCATGCGATATAAAAAATTAACTGGGGTGTACTATAATTTCCTGTGGGGTCAAGGGGTAGAGCCAGTTGGATCACAAATTTATTTTTGTCATTACTGTTCTATGGCTACTTGCTGTGACTGACTTATTTTTTAAGATGTAACTAGCTGTAAACATTTTTTATCCAAATATTGGCCTATAACAAATAGGTTGCTTGCTTAAATGATAATTCCTTTTTAATCTGTATTACATAAAATAATAAATTTTATAGTAATTGTACATTCTAATCTCTCTTAAAAATGTAGACCTTTCTGATTGGTGGGTGCACACACCCACCGCTAACCCTTGCATATGGGCCTGCTAAGCCACCATAAACAACACTGGCATCATCACTACCTTCATCATTATTGTCTACCTTGCCATCCTCATCTAAATCACCACTCACCTGTCGTTCCTGTGTTGAACTGCATTCTCGTATCGTTTACGTAACTTCACCATCTGCTCCTCCGCCTGGTTTATCATCAGGTTTAGCTTTGCAATGTCCATTCTCTGCTGTTCTCGCTTTTCTCGCATTTCCTCTTCAATCCGCTGATGCTTCGCAAGATCATTGCGTAACTGATCACGTATTACAACAGCGTTTACATGTTTCAATTTGGCTTTCTGAAACTGCCTACAAAAGAGGAAGTTATGTGTGATTATTGTACTAGTTAGAAGCAAAAAAAATGACATTTCAATCGTTGTAATCACAACTTTTCAATCCAACTTTAAAACACGACCTGCACTAACTGTACAAACTCAATTTGACACAAATACATCTTTTTAAAGCAATTTTAGAACATGTATACCTATCTGACAAATAACTGTTGTTATGCCCATATATAGTCATGATGTGCCTACAGTATATACAGTCATGATGTCATCACAACCACATTTATGCACGTCACTCCTTCTTGCAGGCGTGCCGATTGGTCGAGCGGTTAAGACAGGGAACCCTGACATACAGCCACAATATCGGCGCTCGAACGGCACGTTCGCCTATGGTACCGGTGGTGGAACAAGTCTTCTCGGATAAGGACTCTAGGTCCAGTGTACACAGTTGGTTCGTGTGCACTTTAAAGAACCCAGTACATCATTCGAGAAGAGTAGGGGGTTACCCCGGTGTACTGGTTTATCTCTAGTCCCCTGTCCGGCCACAGAAGGAGCGCTTACGACACGGCCCATGTCAGGTATCCATCCTACCTGCGAATCCTTCTACCACACTACGTAAGCTAGATCATACACACTAGCTACGTAGTGACACGATAAGAAGACTCCTAGCTTTTTAAAATAGTCTGGTCACAAAAGTCATACAGTAGCGGATACAAATTTGCCCTTTGGTATGGTGATAGAACATGATAGGGGGTACCAAATCCAAGTTACTGGAAATATGGTTTGACCTGTGACTTTTGACCTGAATTCTTATGTTTTTTTTGTTTTGAAAAAATGAAACTGCCATATATATCTCTGTAATGCTTTGGTCTATTGAAATAATGTTGATGTCAAATTTCTCAGAAAACATACATAATATATTTGTTGTAATACAACTTTTTGCATGAAACCCAATTCTTATCGTGATTGTTTATAAAAATCATGTTTTTGGGCAAAAATACGAAATGGTAATATCTCTGCAATGCTCAAGTCTATAGAAATTATTATGTCTATATCTTTAAAATGATTCCTGATGCTCATTTATTTTGTTTAAAGCAGGCTTCAAAGGAAAAAACGGTTCTGTTTTGTAATACAACTGACCTTTCTAAGACACAAACAGGGTGTTTGACGAAAAAATCGGGAACAGTTAATGAGAAACAGACTTTTAATTATTTCAAAACTGGGGAAGGTAGAAAAAATTAAAATGAAAAAAAAAAAAATAAATAAATAAATGATCTGTTTTTCCCCAAAGACCCCATTTTTTGTGTCTTAGACAAATCGGTTGTAAAACAACTGGCTTTAACACATTGGCCAAGTAAATGTTTTTACATAATCCCAGAGTGCTATACCCAGTGAGTTTTAGTCCAAACTTAGCACTTTTTTTAACTGTATGAAATCTAACTAGCAGTGGTGAAAGAAACATGAACTCTTCCCCTGTCACTTTAGGGTGAGACCCTTGGAAGTTTTCATCTAAAAATATATACCAGAATATGTTCGTCTGTGAGGAATATAATGTTCATTATGGTGGCGACCTCTGTCTTATTCAATACTGGTAAAAAGAGGAAATCATGGAAACCAATGTCCTTATAACTAACACATGTTTTGCATATTTATGTTCAATTATATAATCTTTACCTTTCTTTAGCATTGCACGCAGTTCTTAATATTTCAATCTCATTTTGTAGTATCTTTATCTTTTCTCTCATCTCGGCTGCTTTCTGAGTACTAGCCTGGATCAGGTTCACGCACTTGTTCCTCTCATTCTTGATTACATCATACATCTTAGCAAAATCCTTCAATCTGAAAACAAAATAATTTATATAGAAGTCAAAATAAACATTGACAATTTTTTTCAACTGTTTTTGTTTTTGACATGATCTAACCCAAGCTCTATTACGCAATTAGTAGAGCTGCGCATAGTACACTAACGGCAAATTATTATACTAAGATTAGATTTAATTAATGCTTGAAATAATTTCCTGAGGACCTGCAAGGTCTGAAGGAAATTTTTGAATGCTTGAGAGAGCAGCTTTAGCTCAGTCGGCTAAATCTGGTGACAGCAAATGTGTGTGCGCTGAACTTGGAGATCTCTAGATCCCTGGTTAAATTCCCATCGCTGCCTCTCCTTGTGTTTCAGCTGAAGGGCTGAAATGCAAGTTACAAGAGCGCACTGCCTTTCGGATGAGACGTTCAATGTGCATCTACAGTATGAGCCCATATATGTATGTTAAAGAATGCAGTACACTCTTCGGAAAAGAGTAGGGGATTGTCTACTGGTGTACTGCCCCATCAACACCATAAGGACCCCACTGGAAGTAAATCCAATCCAATCCAACCCAAATCTAAGCATAATTTTCAACCTAGTGTACGATGTATGCATGCTATACTAATTGCTAAGTATCGCCATCTTTTAATGTTAGTTTTGATAATCAACTGCAGTTGCTATAGTGATATGATCAGTATACATTTAGCTGTGCATGCTAACAAGCTCCTGCAGTACGTGTATTAAAACACACAGCTAGTGAGACATTACCACAGAGACATTACACATCAGCTTGGATACAATCAATAATTAATGTACACTGTATTTTATTGTGTTTGAAGAACTTGTAATGCTCTTTTGGTAGACATTCGTCAAAGAAATAAACATTTCTTAAACCATTTGAGAGAACAATTTAGGCCCTAATCACTTTCTACATTTTGGTCTATATTCTATTAAATGTTCACTGAGTTTCTTTTGTTTATTAGGGTCCATTAATTCAAGGAATTACTTAATTTTTCATATTTAATATTGAACTTGAAGAACTAGCATAAAAAAACTAGCCTAGATTTCATTGCGTTGCGTGATATGTACAAGTTGAATTGGTCCTTTGCACACAAACCTAAAAAAAAACGTACAATACGTGAAAAAATAGTGGACTGTTGGAAATAGGCAAATAACACTGGAAGTTGCAGTAATGACATAACAATTGACTTATAACAAACTTTATGTGACAAATAAATGTGATATGCCCATATTTAGGTGTAATATGACATCATCATGCCCATATATGGACATGTATAAAAAAAATACAGAATGAGTTATGGAAGAAAAGTCATAAAGTAAGAAAAAGCAAATAAATGAAAATGGGGAAAAGTGACAGAAATATAGAAAACAAATCAACAAAAGTGAAAAAATAATTAAAAAAAAGAGAGTGACAGTGAAGATAATCAAATGTGGAGGAAGGGATCTGTGGAAGACCAGGAATTTTATCCCTGAGCAGTCCCCAGGACAAATAATAAAAGAAAAAAAGTAGGATAGAAAAGAAACAAAAGAAAATTGACATAAAATGCTAAAAAGATGCACTACTGTGGTGTATTTTAGGTTGGCCACCTTAGTAAAAGTTTACTGCTATCCCAGCAGTATTGGGGGTTTGTATAAGCTGGGTATGCCCAAAAGTTGAGGCGCTATACAAACAGAGACAGCTATATTATTGCTGATTTCATTTTAACAGAAGTTTTATCTAATGACTGGGGTAATAAAGTCCAGAAATATTAACAGAGGGAGGTGTTAGGGTGGTCCAAGAGATGGTTGAAGGCTGATGAGATGAATTTTTTTCAGAGAGTAAATCAAACACAGCGACTAACTAACAAAAGGGAAAGGTATAAGCAATTGTCTCAAAAACATACATGTTGTCCCACATAGTCGCATGCTTTACTATGATGTTGTAGGGCTGCCTTCAACTGAATCCAAAGGTTGGGGAGGGGCTCAGTGGAAAGGTGTAGCACCGCTTACCTGATCATCATCTCCAGGTGTTTCTTCCTGTTATCTATGATCGCGAGATCTTTGGCTTTCAGGTCATCTAATGCGCGATGATATCGCAACTCGGCTCGCATAAAGTCCCTCGCCTTCTGCTCGCGCTCGTCCCCTTTAATAGCGCCTAACCTCGTCAACTCCACCACCTCGATTCTTAGATCACTCTGCTCGTACAAGAGCCGTTCTTCCTCTGCAATACTTTGTTCTACTTTGACTTGTTCTACCGCAGTCAATGAATTCTAATAATTAGAAAATTAATATTTATTATTGTAAACACAATATTAATTGAATGTATAAATTAGATGGTAATTATGTTTACATTATTGAATTCATCAATAAATATAGAAGTAACGTTAACTAAATAATAATTTAATTTAATTAACTATCATTTATATTAGTCATTAATATGTAGATTATTGTAAGGTTACCCATTAATTATTAACTAAATAACAACTAAATAATTATTATTATATTCAAATTTTACAACAACATTAAAATAATTATTAATATTTGGTAACTAGTTAATAATTGACAGACTGAACATATTCATTGCATTATACTTACATGCTAACTAATAATAATTTCACCATTTAAAATTAAATGGTGACTTATTAACAATATTTATTTATTTATTGATAATACAATGGTAATTAACAATAGTTTTATTAATTAATTCTATATATTAAAACAAGTTGTGATTAAGAATTTATACTACAATTATACCACCACCTATATACTACCAATAACAATTTGTATTGACAAATGAACATAATAGGGTGCTAATCATGATAACAAAAATTGAATTTGGCCCAGTGGTGGATCCAAAGATTCCAAATAGAAGGAGCCCAGTGAGGGAGTTTTTGAGACCTAGCCCCACCAAGTTTAGGGCTAAGTTATGAATTTTGTGGACTATGCCACCTACAAAGCCAGAAATGTGCTGGGCCAGATGCCCCTGAATTAGTCACTGGGGCCTCCTTTGAGATATCTTTACCTGGGCAGCAAGTTTCCTTTTAATTTCATCCACTTCCTTCTGAAGATCCTTTCTTTTCTCCATTAAACTCCCATCATCCTTCGGTCCGGAATCTGCTTGGCTCTTCACTTTGTCATAAATGGTCTACAAAAAGAAGAAAAGAATAATGTTATATAAAACTCTACTATAATAAATTTTAAAAATATAATTTTCAAGTACCTGTGTACAATTCATTTTCATAAACATAAAAAAAAAAAATTACCGCAGTAGGAAAAAGAGAAAATTATGTGCTGCGTTATTATTGCAGCAGTTGCTTTGAACTTGAAATTGTGACATCTGATATCATCATCACAATTATAATTTAGCACTTAGGCGAGACATTTTCATACCTTGTTTCACAAACTTATTTTTTTAAAGATCGTCAGAGGAGGGCAAGAAAAAAATATAAATAAATTTTGGTTTTTCATAGTGAAGATTTTTGCCGACAAAATCCAGATGAAGGATTAAATAAAAATTTTACTGGTGAATGTAAACAGTGTATTAATTGGATAGTTAAATGCTTAAATTTATATTGATATTTAATCCCCAGCCACGCATTGTAGATGGGTATACACGTTGCTTCATTTTGCGAGGCTCCCTAATTAAGAAGAAATATACATATCTCATTTTTGGAGATTTCAAGGCAGCAGCGGGCATAATAAAAAATAAAAAAACTTTTATTGTTTTTTCTGAAATTTTCCCTTTTTTCGTGGCGGCGGTTGTGTTTTTATTTATTTTTTTTTTTATTTTTATTCAAAATCTTTGTTATTGGCTGCAAGTGTTGGGTTCACTAAACAATTAACTAAAAAAGTCTTGTAATACCTGCGTATGAACTTGAGCCTCGGAGGCAACTTTTAAATGCAGCTCTGTCTTTCTAAAATTTCTTAAATCTCGATCTTTTTCTCGTTGTTTTCTGGCATAAATATCATGCTGGTTCTTCTTCTCCATGTGAATGTGACGCAGACTAAGGTCAAGGGTCGCTCTATCGCCAAGACAAACAGCTTCCTTTTCTTTCATGTATTCAAAGTCTTTCATCAGGTTATCAAATTGCCGCCGCCTATCTGCCAGTACTTGTTGCTGTTGCTCTTTTTCTCTATCCATGTCAAACTTTTCGTCGGAGAGTTTATGGTCTGTCTCTTATACACATCTATGTATAAATTTCGTACAAGAGCCGTTCTTCCTCTGCAATACTTTGTTCTACTTTGACTTGTTCTACCGCAGTCAATGAATTCTAATAATTAGAAAATTAATATTTATTATTGTAAACACAATATTAATTGAATGTATAAATTAGATGGTAATTATATTTACATTATTGAATTCATCAATAAATATAGAAGTAACGTTAACTAAATAATAATTTAATTTAATTAACTATCATTTATATTAGTCATTAATATGTAAATATTTATTGTAAGGTTACCCATAAATTATTAACTAAATAACAACTAAATAATAATTCTTATATTCAAATTTTATAACAACTTTAAAATAATTATATTTGGTAACTAGTTAATAATTAACAGACTGAACATATTCATTGCATTATACTTACATGCTAACTAATAATAATTTCACCATTTAAAATTAAATGGTGACTTATTAACAATATTTATTTATTTATTGATAATACAATAGTAATTAACAATAGTTTTATTAAATTAATTTTTATGTATTAAAACAAGTTGTGACTAAGAATTTATACTACCATTATACCACCACCTATATACTACCAATAACAATTTGTATTGACAAATGAACATAATAGGGTGCTAATCATGATAACAAAAATTGAATTGGGCCCAGTGGTGGATCCAAAAATTCCAAATAGAAGGAGCCCAGTGAGGGAGTTTTTGAGACCTAGCCCCACCAAGTTTAGGGCTAAGTTATGAATTTTGTGGACTTGCCACCTAGAAAGCCAGAAATGTGCTGGGCCAGATGCCCCTGCATTAGTCACTGGGGCCTCCTTTGAGATATCTTTACCTGGGCAGCAAGTTTCCTTTTAATTTCATCCACTTCCTTCTGAAGATCTTTTCTTTTCTCCATTAAACTCCCATCATCCTTCGGTCCGGAATCTGCTTGGCTCTTCACTTTGTCATAAATGGTCTACAAAAAGAAGAAAAGAATAAAGTTACATAAAACTCTACTATAATAAATTAAAAAAATATCATTTTCATTTAAACAAGTACCTGTGTACAATTCATATTCAAAAAAAAAAAAAATAACCGCAGTACGAAAAATAAAAAATTATGTGCTGTGTTATTATTGCAGCAGTTGCTTTGAACTTTGAATTGTGACATCTGATATCATCATCACAATTATAATTTAGCACTTAGGCGAGACATTTTCATACCTTGTTTCACAAACTTACTTTTTTAAAGATTGTCAGAGGAGGGCGAGAAAAAAATATAAATAAATTTTGGTTTTTCATAGCGAAGAATTTCGCCGACAAAATCCAGATAAAGGATTAATTAAACATTTTACTGGTGAATGTACACAGTGTTTTAATTGGATAGTTAAATGCTTTAAATTTATATTGATATTTTATTCCCAAACCACGCATTGTAGACGGGTATACACGTTGCTTCATTTTGTGAGGCTCCCTAATTAAGAAGAAATATACATATCTCATTTTTGGAGATATCAAGGCAGCAGCGGACATAATAAAAAATAAAAAAAAACATTGTTTTTCTGAAATTTTCCCTTTTTTCCTGGCGGCGGTTGTGTTTTTATTTATTTTTTATTTTATTTTTATTCAAAATCTTTGTTATTGGCTGCAAGTGTTGGGTTCACTAAACAATTAACTAAAAAAGTCTTGTAATACCTGCGTATGAACTTGAGCCTCGGAGGCAACTTTTAAATGCAGCTCTGTCTTTCTAAAATTTCTTAAATCTCGATCTTTTTCTCGTTGTTTTCTGGCATAAATATCATGCTGGTTCTTCTTCTCCATGTGAATGTGACGCAGACTAAGGTCAAGGGTCGCTCTATCGCCAAGACAAACAGCTTCCTTTTCTTTCATGTATTCAAAGTCTTTCATCAGGTTATCAAATTGCCGCCGCCTATCTGCCAGTACTTGTTGCTGTTGCTCTTTTTCTCTATCCATGTCAAACTTTTCGTCGGAGAGTTTATGGTAGAGCTCTACCAGTTTCTGGAGTTGAACTGTAAGTTCCATGTACTGATCATCAACATCAGATCTATTTCTATCAAGTTCACTGAAAAAAAAAAAAAAAAAAAAAAAAAAAATACAATGTTTGATCTAACTTACAACTTTAAATGTATTAACTGGGGAGGATCAAAGATTTTTAAAACAAGGGGCACTAAGTTTAATAGTTCAAAGTTAGGGGTGATAGCATGGGAATAGGAAGGCGAGGTCATTTGAGCCAAACCCTCCTGAATAACTATGCTTTATGTCTTGAAATTTGTTTAGTTAATGCTGTGTTACAAAATAGTTTAACAGTTGGTATTTGTGTTCCATTTAGAAAAATAACTGGCAGTGGTAAAACAAGGCTCCGTTTCCACTTCCTAAATCTGCCTTGATGATTTCTGCCAAAGGAAAGAGAATTTCTCACTACCGAACTAAAATGAAAACATCCATAGCTTACTTTTTATGTTTATTCATCTTGTCCATTTCTTTGACCAACTGACCAGGCAGTGAATGGACCTGAACAAGGTCATCTTTTAGTTTTTCCACCTGTTCAACGGTTTTCTCCATCTCTTTCTTCTCTATCATAACCTGTCTGTTTTTTGTTTCTAGTTCTTCTCTTAAATTTTTAGCTTCCAATTTCCTTTGTGCAATTTCTACTCGCAAATCCTCAATTCCTTTTGTCAGTTCTTTGGTTTGTTTGTCAATCTCATCCTTCTTTGGAAGACGACTATACTCACGTTCGAGCATTCTTTTTTCTTCTTGAAGACTGATGAAAAAATATATAAAAATTTTATTTTTATCGATATCAAATCATTAGCTATAATAGAGGGTAGCATACATGGTTGTAGCTAATGAAAACTAAGGGTGGGGATAGTTATTTTGAGGGTGGATGCGCGATAACATTGGTAAACTCTGAATAATACAAGTGGATTTTAAGGAAGGAAAAGTGGGTTAATAAGGGTGGGTGGAAAGCCATGGAATTAGCTTTAGACTGGGTGGAAAACCTCAAGGCTGGGTGGCTCCACCCATTATAACAACATCGGGAATACAATAAATGGTTCTGATATAGTTACCAATTTGACCGCCATAGTAAGAAAGTCAAAACAAGATTTCAGAGCTCTTAAGACAGAGTGGTAATTTCTATTGTGAGGTCAACACATACGTCTAATAGCATTTATTTAGTTTACCAGTAACAAAATATAGGGCAATTGTAACTTGATCGTTGTGTCGATCTGGTATTTGTAACAGGTCTTCAGTATAGTTATCAATTTGACTGCCATGGCAAAGAAAAAAAATTTCGAAGCTCAAGCCAGAGTGGTAATTCTTTGGTGTTCCATCCTGTACAAGTTTACATCTTCCATAGTGAATGGTGTCACTATTTCCAAAATTCAGACAATTATATGATCAAAGGGACATTATTGTTGAGAACATAATTTAAGATACTGGTAAACAATCAGAAGCAAATTATCACTTAGTCTATTTATTTATTTATTTATTAAGCATATTTACAGTGGGTGACCCTTACAGAACATGGTATGATGTTTAGGGGCCCAATGAAATACAAAAATATAGAATGTATATACAAATATACCCTATCTACAGGTATCAATCAATCTATCTCATCTTGAATTTTAAAGAAAACAAATAATTACATAATTTTTGAAGAAAATAATTTTAAAGAAAAAAAAGTTTAAAGACATAATTATACCAAACTGACCTTTCTTTTTGGAATTCAAACTGATATTTCCTTTCTTCTGACTGGTTTAATTCATTTGTGTGTTTTAAAAGTTGTACCCTCATCTTAGTCACCTCTGTGTTAGAGCTCTCTGGGAAGTTGTCTGCCTTCTCCAGTTCAGCATTCTGTTGCTCTAATACTGCTGACGCTTCCTTAGCTTTCTGTAAACACTTAGATTCAGACTCCCTAGTTCTGTGTAAAATTAGTGTAGCTTTATTTATAATAGTGTTCAAATAGGGTATGATATGTGGGTGGGTTGTTAAGATCTTAACATTAATTAACGTCCCTATAAATAGGATACATAACCTGATTAAAGCAGAGGACTATGTAGGTCACTAGGACCTTAGTAGAATTAATGTCCCTATACCCCAGGATACATAGTTAGGTAAGGGCAAAGGTATGCAGGTCACTACGACTTTAGTGGAATAACATCCTTGTCCAGGATTCATAGTCCGTTAGTGTATGTGTATGCAGGTCATTAGGACCATAGTGGATTAACATCCCTACTTAGGTGCATAGTCAGTTAGTGCAGGGGTAAGGGGCCAATAAGACCTTAGCGAAGTAATGTCCCACTTAGGTTCTTTTTATTTTCTATTTACTTTTTTAATGAAAAATATTTTTGAAAGAATTTACTTTAATAGAAAATAAAAATTTAAAACCTCGAATAGACTAGCCCAATTGGCTTCATCTCCTCAAGAAAAAGCAAATCTTAAATTGAAGTCCCCGCTTTGGTTTGCAAAGGTAGCCTTGAAAAGAAGCCCATTGTAGATAGTACAGTACATACACTGTACATGAATTAAAAAAAAAGAAAATAAAATGAATTATAAATATAATAATTATATAATGTTTTATACAGTAGTTTAGGTGTGATTTAATGCCAGTTAACACTCTACAGTATGATAGATTGATGTTAAAGTGGCCCTATTATTAATTGTTGTATTTTATAGTAGTAAAATTCCCAAAATTTACAGCATTCATTTTGAAAAGCAGGCCCCCCACCCCTTTATTTTGCAGAAGTAGCTTTGAAAAGAAGACCATCTCGAAAAGAAGCCGTCCAAAGTTGGCAAAGTGGACAGAAGCAGCCAGGTCTTCAATTTGAGGTTCGGTATCATATCATATACAGTATTGTATTAATTCTTTGAAAAATAATTATTAGCAATGAATATTATTTTAATATACTGTGTATAACCAATAAAATAAATTCAATCAATCAATTAAGAACACACTATGAATTGCATAATTTGATCAATATTTAAAATCTAATAGTCTAAACTTACGAGGCAAGCCGTCTGTGGAGCTCTGTGTACCTTGCCTTCAGTTGTGCCACCTTGGTTCCTGTTAGCTTCCCTTGTTGAAAAAGCTAAATTAAATTAGAAGAAACATTTTAGTTTTCATTTTTTTAAATTGCAAGGATCACAAATTTTTTTAAAGTCATTTTCAGGGCTAGGAAAAGTGCGGGCGATCGGTGGTCAAAGGCATCATGAGTGTACAGGAGACATAATTTGGGAGAAAAAAAAATTTAAAAAATAAACTGTTGGGCTACATAATTTACAGATACAGGTGCTGGAATTTATTGAGACAATTTTTTTGGTTGGAGGCGCAAACATTCCTTTTTTCAGGCCTCGCCACTTTACAGCTGGTTTTTATTATCCACAAAGCAACAATTCTATTTTTATAATTTACAAATTTTTCAGCTGATGAAAAAAAAATAAATAAAATGGTGAAATATGATGGAAAATGACTAAAAACTAAGTGTGCACCTTTTATAATAAATATCAAGCCAAATAACCTACATGTTTTTATTATCCACAAGGAAAACAAAATTTTTTAAGCTGATGGAAAAAAAAATAATAAAATGATGAATGAAAATGATGGAAAATGACAGAAACCTATTAGTGTGCACTTTTTATAATATCAAGCCAAATAGCCTACATGTTTTTATTATCCACAAGGAAAACAATTCTATTTTATAAGTTACACATTTTTTAAGCTGATGAAAAAAAAAATAATAAAATAGTGAATGAAAATGACAAAAAACTAAGTGTGTACCTTTTATAATATCAAGCCAAATAGCCTACATGTTTTTATTATCCACAAGAAAAACAATTCTATTTCATAATTTACAATTTTTTTAAGCTGATGAAAAAAAAATAATAAAATGGTGAATGAAAATGACAAAAAACTAAGTGTGCACCTTTTATAATATCAAGCCAAATAGCCTACATATTTTTATTATCCACAAGAAAAACAATTCTATTTCATAATTTACAATTTTTTTAAGCTGATGAAAAAAAAATAATAAAATGGTGAATGAAAATGACAAAAAACTAAGTGTGCACCTTTTTATAAAACAATACCATGAGTACATGTGAGCAGAGAAATTACTGAAGTACGGTATGTACCCTGACAATTCAAGATCCCTCAAATTCAAAACCACTTTTTCAAAGAACCAAATAAAAATCCTCAATCTTATTTAAACACAAAGTTAATCTTCTAATTCATGGAGAAAACTAACCCCCGAGACAACCTCAAATTTCAAATTGGAGGTGAAAACTGTATATTGAAAAAGCAATTATCAACTGAAATAAAAAGCATAATTAGCTTCAAGTTACCACGCTCTATACTCGTACACAAAACATGTTTCCTTTTTTTATCGTCGAGAAAATCAATAATATTTTATAAATTACTGGCAAAAAAAAATATTTTAGTGTTTAAAATGTATTATTAAAAACCTGACTATAAGTATAAGAAGAATCACAAATTAAATCTCAATTTTTTGCCAAGTAATAAATACATTCAATCCAGAAGGTCATCAGTCTTTTGTTAATTTATTATAATACATTTTTGAAAGAATAGCATTTGTTTTATTACATAATGAGGTAATGATATTGACATTTCATTTCATAGTCTTCTATTTAAATATTAACTAAATAATGAAAACAAACGGTTAATTATTGAAATAAGAAATTGGAAAATACTGTGCAGCTAAATATTATCATCATAAACATTTTATTAGTCAGTTTCACTCAGAAATTGATACTATTGTCTATCATACTTTTGTGCATGCACAATACAGGCAGAGAAAAATATACTACGCAAGAACAAATACCGTATGAGGTAGTAAAACAAGTCTAATATGGTTTGTAGGACAAATGCGTATTTGAAGTACAATATTTTATGATATTCCAATGCTCTTTAAACCTGAATTTTACCTTTTATTTTATTGATAACTGCATGTAAAGCACTGTGGTCTCTTTCGAAAAGGGCGCCTAATAAGTGATTAAATTAATAATATTATTATTATTAATATTATTATTAATATAGATAGTAATATTATTATTATTACTAGTTATTATTATTATTTTAGAAGGGCGCCTAAAGTGATTAAATTATTGTTGTGTATTAGCATGTAACACCTTGGAAGTACAATTTACTAGTTTCTCTCAAACCATTTTTATTTACTAAAGGAAGATGGGTAAATATTGACTTGTTAAACACTGGATAAATTAATGTTAAATTTTGTTGTATGAGAGTATTAAAGTTTGATTAAAAAAATTGATTTGAATATTGATTGACTACAAACATAGTAAATAAGATACCTCATCAAGACACTGGAAGGCAGGACTTGCGGACACTTCAACTTGACCTTCCTCTTGCAGGAACACTTTTGGGGCCACAGGAGCAATGGCCCTTTGTTTATGTGTCTCATCATCTTTATTATCTTGGCCTTCACTCATTATTCTATCTAAAGAGAGGCAAAAGCAGGCTTATAATAATAACAGTATTAATAATAAAAACAACATCAACAATAAACAATCAATAACTATAGAATTAATAATAATAATTAATAACAATAATAATAATTAATAATAATAACAATAATAATAATTATTAATAATAATAATAATAATAATAATTTTTTATTTAATTATTTATTACGGTATAAAATATATTACACAGCAATAACTGAGAGCTAAATATGCTTGTATTACAAAATAGAAAAATATATCAAAAACGTAGAAAAATATATAAATATAACAACAGAAAAATATACATCAAATGACTAGTGAAGAACCATTACATATTTTCAATTTACATCAAAACTATAACATACAGTACATACACAATATAAGGCCGAATGTAAAAAAACAATCTGGATTAGCTTCATAAAATGCAACAACAATAATAATAATAATAATCTACCTGTAATAACACTAGCAAATACAAAAGTAGTAAAATGACAACAACAATATTGAAAAGCCAAAAAACAACCAATTTTTTCAGTCCAATATAAACATTTTTGTCATAAAATTAAATGATTCACCAATAATGCAAATTTTAGCTTTTATTATTCCATGTATTTTACCACGTTCAAATAATAATCACTTTATATTCAACTTCAAGTAAAAAATTACGGAATCAAAAGCAAAAAAAAAAAAAAAAATAGCAAGGTAGGAATACAAATAGACAAGTTTCATACATTTAGACAACTTTAAAAAGGTAAGATGGTTACAAGAAAAAACATTATCATCAGCAATATAGACCTAAATAGAAAAAAAGACAAGAGACTTAGGCTAGGCAACCAATAGGCTAAGTAAAAAGGTTAAACATGAAGGAGAAAATTATTGAGAGATTTGTTCTCTAATATTAATAACAATGATATTGTCTATTGATAATAATAATAGAAATAATAATAAAAATAGTTTATTCTCGCTTGATGTCGCCAAATCTAGCAAAACTGCTATCCTTTTTAATTGCTATAGGGCCTCGATCTACAGAATATTAATCACAGCTTGTCAACAACAGCCGCGAACGAACAAAATTTCTTCTTCGATCGTTGCTAAAACACACTCCAGCAGTAGTGCACTGAATGACGTTTCGGCGTTTCTATTGGCTAATCATGATGTAATATCATTTACTGTACCTTTAGCAATCTGAAGTTCCGATACGGTACCGTATCTCTAGCCACGGCGTTAATATTAATAGGCCTTGATTATATTCATCAACTTCGTTTTCAAGTTTTGGCCTCCTTCCTAAACAAACAGTAATAGTTGAAAATAACAGTCTTCATGTGAATTCCTGTATATTATGTATGGGGATGGTCTTCATCATGTGAATTCCCATAATTTGCATTCTTGTCCTGTTTTCAATGTGCCTTTTAGTAGAGTTGATGTTTTCTTTCTAGGATTCCAATGCAATTTATTTATTTATTTTTTTTTTTTTAGGACTCTTGTACTTTTGTTTGTTTATCCAGGACCTGGCGAAATGACTTTGACTGTAGAGTAGGCCTAAAAATAAACCTAGGCCTAGGTCAGAAATAATGAACACATCACATTCCTAGATATAGCCTAGCCCAGGCCCCATGGCTACGCTTCCGTCTGTGTGACTTTGCTTGAACAGGTTGATGATAGATAGTCAGGTGCTCCCCTAGTCTAGGCTAGGCCTACCTAGGGCCGCCCTAGGCTAGGCTAGGCCCCTAGCCTAGGCTAGGCCTAGTAGTAGTGCTCCATCTGCTGCTAAACTTTCTCACAAAATAAACGTTAACATATATTACCAAAAAACAGCCGGCCTACATTAACCTTAACTTGAACGTCGACAAACTATCTTCCAATAGAGAATTATCAATTTAAATAATTGTAATGTTTTCAATTTAAAACAACTGATGCAAATAAAAACGAAGTAACTTGCCTGAAATTCTGATCAATAAACTTTACACTGATTTTCTCTCATGCATTCAGTTACCAGGGAACGCGAGCATCAACTTCTATAAAATGTGTATGTCCATTGGACAGTTCCACAGTTAGGTTGGTGTATTGTCCAATCACAATAAGTTTAATTAAATGCATTGCCATGCATAACATTCTCAAACAATTTTATATAATAAGTTGTCAAATATTTAATATAATAGGATACAAAAAATCTCAAATCAAGTAATAAATTATATTTTGAATACAAATAGTATTTGTAATAGATATGAGTGTTTACCTAACTTTTAAAGGCAAAAATTGCAAATTAAGTTTCATAAACTACTATGAGCCTGAACCACCATTTTACGCTCGCATGTGTGATCTGTTTAAATTTTGACGATCGGCTTTTAATACTTAATTGCTAATAATTACTGAAAATGAAGATTGAAGAAGTAAAAAGTACCACAAAAACTCAAAGAATTGCCTCACACAGTCATGTAAAAGGACTAGGGTTAGATGAAAATGGCATAGCTATTCCAACAGCCGCAGGACTGGTTGGCCAAGAAATGGCCCGCGAGGTAAAAACAATTACTCGGTTCTCTACTTTACTTGTGTCTGCTCTAGCTAGGCCTAGTTAGAATAGGGGCCTAGGCCTAAGCCATAGGCTTGGACTAGGATAGGCTTAGCCTGAACTAGGGTAGACAAGCTGTTTTTGCGAGCAACGCTAGACTAAGACTACTTACCTAGGCCTAGGCAGCTTAGCCTTAAGTAGGCCTAGGCCTAGTATTTAAAGTAGCTAATCGGAAGCAGGTCAACTCTGCCCCAAGTCAACTCGACCCCATGTCAACGAATACAGATCATTTCGGTCGCGCTTCGTTTCGGTCGCGCTTCGTTTCGGTAGCGCTTCATTTCGGTCGCGGTTTGTTTTCAACTATAATACGGAGCGCCAATGGAGTTTCGAAACGCTAAATTTAATATAAGTGGCCTAATTATCATTGCAGTTCGTCAATCGGTTTATCATACTTTTTTATTTATGTTTTGTTGTATTTCTAATAAGTAACAACAGGCTACTTAAAAGCAAATAAAATTAATACTATTATTACCAAACTATCAATCAATATTATCGGAGGGTTTTTATTTTCGTTTTGTTATGAATCCTACGCTTTCTACTGCATAACAAATACAGCAAATAAAATAAATATTAAAATATGATATGATGTTATATATATTATTATTATTATTATTATTACTATTATTATTATTGTTATTTATTTACATTGTATCTGGAAAAAATAGCCAATTTGTCATTTAAATTACTGTAACATTAGTTTATTAACAATTATTTTTATTAGTATTAAAGTTTATTATTTTTATTTTCGTTTTATGAATCCTACGCTTTCTACTACATAACAAATACAGCAAATAAAATAAATACTAAAATATATGATGTTATATATTATTATTATATTATTTTTTTTATTTACATTATATCTGGAAAAACCAGCCAATTTGTCATTTAAATTACTGTAACATTAGTTTATTAACAATTATTTTTATTAGTATTAAAGTTTGTTATTGTTACTATATTACGGTATAACTTGGTGCTATTTTTCTTTTTTTACAGAAACAACGCAGATGTTACGAAATTGACCGAGTTTGAGATACGTTTTTTTTTGTTCTTGCTATAAATATTGATATACTGTAATTTTTATTAATGCTTGAATCAAATAAAAATCTATGGAATAAGTATAGTCAATAGCTTAGTTTCGCATACATTTTTTTTTCTTGTCTGTTACGTTTCCATTTACCATAAATGTTCTTATCATGTTATAATAATATTGTAAAGGAAATATGTATTTCCATATTTATATTTTCCATATAAAATTATTAATACATTGATAATTGCATGCTGTACATTTTAAAAGCCTTTTCATACTTCTGTTATATTCATAAGCCCGAGAAAATCACTCAACTTGCTAGGCCTATTTCTTTAGTTGCATTAAGTGGAGTATAATTGTGGAAAGAAACGTTTCCACATATTTATTGACATGGTACTCTTAAGGCGAAAATGACACAAGGTTTGTGATTTCTTGTTTGTTTTATTTCCATTTTTGTTACATTATTGCAAAGACAGAATTAGGTCAGATGCTAAAATAGATGACTAGCTATTTCTAGGTACAAACACGTACGCTGAAGCGCAGTTCACCACTTCACGTGTGTTCAACAACTACTTTATGAAACCAGTAATTTTGAATAGTCTGCGCTGGCTTCTGATCATGTTTATAAAATAAAAAAATAAATGGATAACCAAATATATATGTGTTATATGATTTCATGTGTAATGTAAATAAATACGTATAAATTTTATGTGTGTA